ACTCTTAACCTTTCTGTGCCTCAGTATCCATGATAATAATGGTATCTTCCTCAGAAGACTGTTATGGAAATTAAATTCATATATGTGAAACACTTAGAAAAGTACCTGGTAATAAACAGTAAGGGCTATATGTGTTAGCTATAAAATGATAACAGTGTTATCATTCATGAAAAAGCCAACTCTTAGACTCTAAGAGGCAGATTATGTCATTTAATGTTAAAAATGAAATTGCAGATCCTGAAACAAAGGATGCTGGAAAATCTCTTTCCTAGAAAATTGTGACTGAGCTAAATTGGCCTGCCTGTAACTTTTACTCATTGATCTGATGCCTGCCTCTGGCAGCCATGCAATAAATGTACCCCAGTTCCAGTCCTTCTTGAAGACTTACAGCCCACCCTCCTTCACCTTCTCTCCTACAGGCTAAACATGCTAGGCCAGGGTTTCTAGACCACTCACCATAATGGTCTCCCATCCTCAGGGGAATCTCAATTGCTCAACGTCCTCTTGAAATTTATTACCTAGAACATAGAGTTTATGGCCTGGCATATCCTTGGAGCTCCATAACTTGAAATGAACAAATGAAGTAGTCCACAATGCCACAATACACCAGAAATATTCTCCCCTTTCTCTATACATTGTACTTTTCCTACTGCTGCCTAGGCTTATATTAGCTCCTCCAACAGAGACTTCCACATGCCTGTTGGCTTGGGTGTGGAGGGGTGTCCCCTGGGAACAAGGCTGGAGGACCTGTTGAGTGACAATGAATTGGATTCTGACAATGAACTCGGTAGCATAACAGAAAACACTCTAGTCGTGTAGTAAACACTCTAGTCATGCAACAAAAGAAGCCTGTCAGTGACAGATTTGCAAGGTCCTGCTTCCCTTAATAAGTCTTGACTGCAGATTAAGAATAGTATTGGTGACAACCAATAAATATTTCTAAATCTCTTCCCAGGTGCATGGTAGAAATGCACTTCCCTGCCCCTTTAAAGTTAAGAGTGGTCATGTGACTTGTTTTAGCCAATGAAATATGAAAGAGCCAGTGCACAATTCACTAACGCTCCCTTTGGTGATCATGAAGCACAAAGATGGAGCTTACCTCAGTAAAGGTGACAATTAAGGCTTCTTTCTCAGTAAAATGAAAATAAACATTAATTGTTTTAAGTCACTGAGATTTTGTTTCATATTGTAACCATAGCAGACCCTAACTTATCCTGACTAATTCTGTATTACTGACCCAGTTACTAGAAAACTCAGACCTTATGTCTTCTGGATCCACCAAATCATAGCTTTCACATCTCCCTTCTCCATGCTTCTAATATGCAAGATGAAAAAGCATCTTTTAGTCGGCATGCACTTGTTACACCAAGCAGCCAGGTGAGTTCCACCTGCCAACAATATCTGTTCACATCAGTAATACTCTAAAGGAAGTCACAATGGAGACCTTTTTTTTCTTCCCATAGGGAAAGAAACTTTATCTGACCCAAAGCCCTCTAAGATTATCACTGCAGCCCAAAGAATGATGGGTATCTGGAGGAGACTTAAGGATGAATGAAAGAATATGGGACTAATTTAGGAGGGATTAAAAACCTGAATCAGAATCACCTGAAGGCTTGTTAAAACTCAGGTTCCAGGGTCCTACTCCAGAGACTCTGACTCAGGAAGTCTGGAGTGGGCTCAAGAATTGGCATGTGTAACAAGTTCTGCTTCAGAGACCACACTTTGAAAACCACTGCTCTAGATTAGGATTCCCACCAAGAAGCCAGGGTGAAGGCTTTGCAAGTAGAGTCTTTGTGGCCTTAACAGACTCTCTTTGAAGAAGAAAAAGAGCCCTATTTTCCTTTCCATCCAACATAATCTGAGAGCTGTTGAGTGAAGGACAAAAATGATCGTCACCTTTCTCTCCTCCCCACATAACACACTACATAACAAAGTAAAGCTCCTCTGTACAAATTTATAACAGTCATCTTATCCGTTGGTACGTGTTTTTTTTTTTTTTTTTTTTTTTTTTTTTTAATGGTTTCATGCCTCACTCGCCCTCCAGAGCCTCGGTCACCAACCTTTCGGACCTCACCGACCACCAGTGGTCTGCAGACCACCGGTTGGCAACCACTGCTCCAGAGCTCCGCCAGGAAGTAAATCCGAATGTGTTTCAGGAAGAAGCCATTTAGATAATGGGCTGCAGCCTTGTCTCCACACTCCTTTTCCCAAACCCCACTACACATCCATGTTCTCACCCTCTGACCCCACCAAGACTGGCCACGCTTCCTTCAGCTGGGACCCATCCTTTTACACATGCACACTGATCCTTACTTATCTAAATCCTACCCTTCCTCCTGTTTAGGGCCAGACACTTCAAGAAAGTCTTCCCTCTCTTTCATCCCCATCACAGACAACCCATCACCATGTCCTGTCAATGTTACCTCCCAAATATCTCCAAAATCCGTTCAGCGCTCTTCAGTTTTCACTCTAACTCACCTGGTATAGACCCCTCTCTCTACACTCTCCCTTTCTGCCCTGGAGGGATTTGTCCACAGTGTTCACGTGGACTGGACAGGTCTCAATGTAAACCACAGACCTTCCCAGGATGGAGAGGCCTCCCATGATCCCTAAGCCTGGTTAGAATGGTTTTTCATCAACTCCCATTTAACCCTTTGTTTCCTTGGTCACAAACATGGACCATATTTGTGATCTTCTGTTTGATGATCTATCTTCCCTATTCAGCCGTCAGTTCTTCAGGCAACAGGACCCCGTTCGCCTTCTTTGTTGCTGTAACTGCTGTCCGGCAGAGCCCCTGACACAATGTAGGCATTCAGTGAGTATTTGGTGAGTAAGTGCAGGGATCACCACATCAGCTCATAGGAATCCTCCCTTCCTCTCAGTGCCTGAAGCACTTTCTGCCTCCCTGAAGGAGTGTCTGGTCACACCGGTACACCCCACCACTCCAGATAAGCAAGCACTCCTTATGACAGACAGGAAATGGACTCTACAGGGAAACAGTGACCCTTGAAAAAAAACATCTTTCCCTTGGGAACGGAAAAGAATTGAGACTAGCTACAGAGATATTTTGGTAGACTACAAGAGGCTAACCTTCCCAGAAGTAATTGGGGGACAAAGACTTCGTTAAGAGGAAAAGGAGGTATGTGTGACAGAAGTATTCAGTGATAAAAGTCTGCATTTTTCTAGAAGTTGGTAACTTCCCAATTTAAGCATTCTGATGGATTCCCTCTCCAGACCTTTAATAATGACAGGTGGCTAGGTCTCCAGGATGCCTAAGAAAGGGGGCTGAACCCAATGACCTCTCAAGAGCTTCTGACCTGCAGGCTTCTATAAACAGATCCATTCCAAGCTGGAATTCTTTACACAGCAATTCTTTCTCAAATTGGAAGACAAGATAGTCTTTATCTTCCACTCATTCTCTAATAGTAACGCTTTCAGAGCCAGGCCCCAACCCCACAGTTTGGCCATCATGTCGCCTAGGCCACCAGCATGAAAATAATTTAGCAAACAGCATCTGACTAGGGCAAGGTTAGACTTGACTAAAGAGATCAAGCTAGAATGACATCTGGCTTTTCTGCTTCTAGCCATGCAACTTGGGGTGAGTGACTATTTCTCTGAGTCTCAGTGTCTTCATCTCTAAATGATGATGATGACCTACTCCTCAGAATTACTACAGTAAATGAGATATGCACGTAAAATCCCCAGCACAGAGGAACTATGCAAGGAATTACTGTAATTACAGATTTCTAAAAGTTCTGTAAAATAATTATCCTATGCTGAAAATACTACATAGATAACATGATGTTTGGAATTTGCTTCAAAAGAATCTAGGGGGGAGTGCATAGATGAAACAAAACCAGCCGGGCTTTGAAAATTATTGAAGATGAGCAATGAATATATTGGATTTATTACTGTATCTCTCTACTTTTGTGTATGTTTGAAATTTTCCATAAGAGAAAGTTTATACGTGTAATTATCAAGGGCGGGAAATGCTGTAAAACATGAATACTGATCATTTATTTAAAGATCATATTTGGTCTAGGTCGGTGGTCGGCAAACTGTGGCTCGCGAGCCACATGCGACTCTTTGGTCCCTTGAGTGTGGCTCTTCCACAAAATATCATGGCCTGGGCGAGTCTATTTTGAAGAAGTGGCGTTAGAAGAAGTTTAAGTTTAAAAAAATTTGGCTCTCAAAAGAAATTTCAATGTTGATATTTGGCTCTTTTGACTAATGAGTTTGCCGACCACTGGTCTAAGTGATTAAACAAAATAATAATAATAGTAATAATAATAATAATAATAATAACTTGAAGGAAGAAAAAAACACATAAGGACAACATCTCTGTTAGTTTCTCAAACAGAATTGTTTTCTTCGAACAGAATGGCCTCAGATGAGAAGGGAACACAGCCACCTGCACAGGGGCTCTGCCTTCATGTTTGGTTGAAGAACGCATCCTGCTTGGGCTGTGCGTGCCTTTTAGGTAGATGGCCCTGGGTGGGAGACCCATCTCTGAGCTCCCCAGAGTCCCTGAAACGGGACCGAGGAACAAGAAAGCTCCTGTGTTGGGAAAAGCAAGCGTGAGCTCCACATGTCCAGGGACAATGGGTGTCCCCATCCTCCTCTCTTCTGAGCCCTGGCTTTGGGCTCTTACTTGAGGCTTCCCTTAGAGGCTGGTCCAGCTCGGTCTGAGGCTGTATTTAAGGTACTTTCACACCACATGAATGTGTTGGGTGTCACTTGAGGGAAAGAATTAGTTCAAAGGAAAGAGAGCTTTTAAGAGGTTCTGACAATACCAATCACAGACATCCCCACATCATCTCCCCCTTCCACTTCTCCCCACTGAGACACGTCCAGAGACTGCAGAACAAAATTATCCCATTTCACCAACCACTCCGTGCCCCTCTGGCTGAGAGAGAAAAATAGTCCAACAAGCTTTGTTTTTACCAAATGCCTTTAAGCTCCCAACTCTGCCCGGGAAAGAGAACATGTAAAGTACTTACTCTTCTTGAAGAATAAAGTCACTGTTTTCTGGAGAAAACTGCCCACTCACAGGATGCCTGAACGCTGTGGTCTGCTGGTTATGGCTAAAGAGACAGAAATGAAGGACAAGTCATATGAATGAAAAGGATTATAGACATAACAGGTCAGGAATGTCTGAGGATGCCTGATCATCACAGATGCCTCCCCAGGGTGAGAAGGTGGACCTTTCTGCAGAGAGGCACTGAATCTTTTACAACCCAGCTGCATTCAAAAGCCAAGGACTTCTGGCTGAGTCCTAGCCAGGTAGCTCAGTTGGTTACAGCATCGTCCAGATACACCAAGGTTGAGGGTTTGATCCCAGTTGGGGCATATACAAGAATCAATCAATGAATGCATAAATAAGTGGAATAACAAATCTGTGTTTCTCTTTCTTTCTCTCCCACCCACCCCCCTAAATAAATTAATAAATAAAAATGCTTTAAAAAAAAAAAAGAAAAAGAAAAAAAAAGAAAAAAGAACATCCAGCTCAGGTGCTAGAGGGGACTTTAATTCTAGGGCTGTCTTGGCTCCAGGAGAGCACTGCATCTGAGAGAGACACTCCACGAAGCACCAACTCCAACAAACGAAGCAGCTTAGCAAAAAGTTGCTTTAAGACGGCACGAGCTAAAACAAGAATGAAGGAAAGCAGACAGCCCTTTCAACAGTTTCCAAAACCCATGAACCAGGAAAAGAATTCTAAGAATTAACCACCCACCCAGGAAATAAAAAAAGAAAAAAAGAAAAACACCAACAACTATCTTCTTAAAATTCTTCTCCCTACTACAAAATGTCTTCACTTCAGTGATGGATATAAATGTATGAGCATGTCCCTGCAACATGACCTGCATGATTTCAACACTGCAGAGCTTCCACCGCCCTTTTGAAGTCAGGAGGGATCAGCTTCCACGCCAGGCTGACAGGCACAACCAAAGTGTGTAGGTGTTTTGTGTATCCACAAAGGCTGCCTGGTTCTTTGAAAGGAAGGAGGAGCTGGCTCTGGAGACCGCTTGTTTGTTCCCTGAATAAACTAACCTAACCTCCTTTTTTAAAGGAGTATAATTTGTTTGAAAATGTTTCCCCCAGTCACAAATCAACCCTTTGACAGATTTTAGAAAATATAGACAGAAAAAAGGTCACCCATGATCACACCACCTGGACACATATCTTTGTATATGCTCCTTTCTAGCTTTTAAATATTTTCCTTAAAAAAAAAAAGCAAAAAAAAAAAAAAAAAAAAAAAAAAAGCTGTGCTTTCACTGTATGTAGAAATCTGTATTCTGCTTTTATCACATCCTATGAACACAGACATTTCCCTGTGTCATTAAGACTTCTTCATTTGTTGCCGGGACCGGTTTGGCTCAATGGATAGAGCGTCGGCTTGGGGACTGAAGGGTCCCGGGTTCGATTCCGGTCAAGGGCATGTACCTTGGTTGCAGGCAGATCCCCAGTAGGGGGTGTGCAAGAGGCAGCTGATCAATGACTCTCTCATCGATGTTTCTAGCTCTATCTCTCTCCCTTCCTCTCTGAACAAAATCAATAAAATATATTTTAAAAAAAAGACTTCTTTATTTGAAACAGCTGAATAATAGTCTCATCATACAGATATAATTTTCTTCATATCACCAACTGTTCAAAAACTATTTCCTGGCCATGTGTGTGCCAGGCTCTGCTTTAGATGCTAGAGGCACAAAGTGGACGGGAGAAACCTTACCAGACAGCGCTCACACTCTCAAAAGATGAACATTCTTCTAATGCTGGATATTTCAGGCACCCTCCCCGCCCCATTGTTATAATAAACTAGAGGCCCAGTACGTGAAATTCATGCACAGGGATGGGGGCAGTCCTCAGCCCGACCTGCACCCTCTTACAACCTGGGACTGCCAGTTTAGGCTCAATCCCATCTCTTACAATCTGGGACCGCTGGCTCCTAATCACTCACCTGCCTGCCTGCCTGCCTAATCACCCCTAACCACTCTTCCTGCCTGCCTAATCACCCCTAACTGCTCACCTGCCTGCTTGATCACCCCTAACCAGTCTGCATGCCTGCCTGATCACTCCTAACGGCTTGCCTACCTGCTTGATCGCACCTAACCACCTCTGCCTCAGCCCCCACCATGCGGCTTTGTCCAGAAGGATGTCTGGAAGGTCGTTCGGCTGTCCGGTCTAATTAACATATTACGCTTTTATTATTATAGATACATCTTTGAGAATAGGCTTTTTCTGCAATTCAAATTATTTCCTTGGCTTAAAGTCCCAGGGGTAAGATAACCAGAGCATGGTCTTAAGGTTCCTAACACAGATGGTTAACATGTTTTCACTGTCAGAGTCCATCCATCATCTCAGTTTGTTGGTATTAAAGTGTTAGCCTCACCTCCAATTTGAGCACTGAGCCAACCTAGACACTAGTAGATTTAAATGAGCATAGCACAAAGGTTTATAAAGGAAAAAATCTCTAAGCCTACAAAGTTTTTCTTACTCTGCCCTGGAGCCTGGTCAGAGCACTCTGCGTTCTGGTGTCTGGGGTAAGCTGGCACTGAGGCTAGAACAGCCTGAATCCCAATAAGCCAAAGGTGAAGCAGGCAGAGCCAGGCTGCTGGTCCCAGACAAGCCCTCAGACTCCTATGCCCTCATCTGGCAGGCAGCATCCTGGTCTTCCCAAGACATGAGCATCTGAATAAGGGTGGGAAGCAGGCTCCCTTAACTAATCCTGTTTCGGAAATCCTTTCACCACGTAAGAGAGGCATCTCCATTCACCAGGGAATCTGGAAACACAAGTTCTCATCTAAGCCTGCCCCCTTCCCGCCTGCAGGAGAAGAAGGCCCTGCTCATAATGGGAATAACAATAAAGCAACACCACCACTATCCACTCTCACTGCTTAAGGGTTCTCCAGTCCTAAAGTCTTTCCTTACCCATCTCAGCTGTAAACACCAGCCACCCCATCTTATGAATGAGGAAAGGTGTTAGAGAGGTTAAGTGACTTGTCCAAGATAACTTCGTCAATCAGTGACAAGACTGGGACATGAGCCCAGGTCTTCTATTTCTAAATGGCATTCTCTTTGCACGATAATCTGCTGTCCCCTTCCCTTAGGAGTCTGTGGGGCTGGAAGCTTCCTGGCTGGTGACAGAAATCCCTAAAGACAAGGCATCAGGAAAATAGCACCATCCACTGCTTTCCCTGTCCCTCCCTCCTTCCCTCTCTCCCTCTATCCTTCCCTCCTTCCCTCCCTTCCTCCCCTGTGCCAGGACCAGAGTCTGACTGACAACACCAACATGGCTCTCAGTAGCCCCCAAACAGCCTCTGGTCCTATCACAAGGTCATCTGGTGGAATCAGGCAAAGAGCAAATCTTCTATGTGCTTGGAGCAGCACCCAGCACCAGCAACCACTTCACACACACCACACAACCTTAATAGCAACTCCTGGCTCCCCACACCCAGCCTGTGCGAGCTTGACAAAGCCCAGAGTCTTGGGTAAGTAAATCCTGAGCTGAATGGCATAGGCACTAAGATGATATTCACATTCTAACGTCAGAAGATAGTTTTTAAAATAGACAAAAATACAACTGTCATTTCACCAAATATAGAGGTAGCTTCCTAAAGTTTCCTCCCTAATGTGAATGCTTCCCTTTTTGAAAAAAAAAAAAAAAAAGAAAAAAAAAAAAGGTATCAGCCACAGCATCATTAGCATCATTTCCTGCATTTACATGAAGCCTTAAGTGTAGCCACATTCGTCACCGCATGGGACCCTCCCAAGTACCCACTGAGTTAGGCAGGGCAGGCATTTTTATCCTCGTGTTACCCAACAGGAAGCAGGATTCGGGTTATGGGATGGTATTGAACACCAAATTTAAAGGGGGGAAAAGGAGACTCATGTATTGAGAAAAGAGATGAACCAAAGTAATGCCTCCAAAATACTGTTTAAAATTTGATCACTTTTGATCAGACTCACCCAACTTGCTAATGGCAGAGCTTCTGGTTCAGCGTTTTTTAGAGCAAAGGAGGAAATTAGGTCCTTGGGCTATTTTATTTCATTTAATCTTCCCAAGTTCCCCGGAGGGCAGGCTGTGTCTCATCTCGCCACGCCACGGGTGAGGAACGGGAGGCCCGAAAAGGGTAGGCGACTTGCCCACAAGGACAGTCAACTCTTCCTGCATTCCTGCTTCTCAGTCAACCTCCTCCTGATCTCTTTCTGCTCCTCCAGACTCACCCTCACTAAACCAAGGCTGCCTGTTAAATGCTGGCGCCCTCCACCCACCTGGAGATTGCCAAGTGTTCTGACCTTTCCTGCTGTCTCCCCACCCTTTGGCCACAAAGCCCCCCTCCTGCCCATTTCCTGATTTTCTAAAACTCATGAAGGATCTCATGTACAACAACCCTGTCGCAGGACGCATTTAGCAGGCACAGACAAATCCCCCGAAATACCTGTTCTTAAACCTGAATTGCCGCCTTGCTCCTTGGTAGTGATGGAGATGGCCCGGCTGGAAGCCAGGTGGCTGGTCTCAGGGGAGCACAGAAACTCTCTCTCCTCCATACAAGGACTTCAGTTTCTCTTTGGGCCACTGAGATAGTTAACTTGGCGAATGAGGCCAAACACAGCCCTAGCCATTATTCCTCTATCCTGCTTTTCTCCCAGGGACAGCCCCTCCACGCTGAAAAGTCTCGCCTGGGAGAGGACCGGATGGCAGGATGAAGGTGGCAGGGAAGGATGATCGCCAAGAAGGCAGGCCACTGGTAACGATCCACGTAAATCAGCACGTCTTCACAGGCCCCGGGCGGGGAAGGGCTAGGGATAGGCCCTGAAGAAGCCCGACAGCAAACACAAAAGAGAAGAGAGTGAGGACCAGGGAGAAGAGGAGACGGGCTTGATTGAGCTCAATGTAAGGAAGAGCCCACCAGCAGCCACAGACAGGACTAGTCCAAATGCACACGGGTCCTGCGGTTTCTTGCAACGTTTTTGCAAGATTGATTTCCCATGCATACAGACTTTGACTCTAAGGTGAGCAGTGACTCAGGCTGCTTAAGCCTAAAGGTTCCAATTCCTTAGCATGGCAATTTTGGGGGGCATG